ATAATACACTATAAGTATGGCCCTGGGTTAATGCTTTCTGTTTATTTTCACCAAATATTAAATATTAATATAAATAGACTATGACAATGAAAGAAAACAAAGATATCCAAACTCTCCAGGCCATCTGGAAGTGAGATATTAAAACTGATAAATGTTCAGTAAGTTCTCAGAGCTTAGAAACCTCAGTGACCTGGTTTAAATGGCATTATTGATGACACATCATGTTACTGACTGGGGCAGTTAGAGTTATGAAAAGCTGACAGTATCCCTCACCCTCAGCTTCCTTTTCCTTAAACCCTTGTATCTTCCATTCACCATTCATAACATCTGTTGAACTTCCATGTACAAGGAGCTAAGTTAGGTGTTGTGGAAGATACTAAAGATGAAAGAAAGCGTGGATCCTGATCTTGAACTTCACAAAAGCTAGTAAGAAAGAGAGAAAAGATGTTTATAAATAACTATGATACAATAGGAAGAGGAAATGGGAGGAGAGGAATTTATGTTCACTGAGTGTCTGCCATGTACCAGGCACCACGTTAGCAGTTATACATTTATTATCTTATTTAATCCTCACACCGTCTGTTGAAAGAAGACATTATTATCTATCCTTTACAGATTGAGAAAAGGAGACTCAGAGTGACTGAGTAACTTGCCCAAGATCACAGAGCTTGTAAGTAGAAGAGCTAGGATTTGACTTACAATCTGTCTGGCTTTGCTGGCTATGCTCCCTCTATTTTAAGTGTAAAGTTAAAAAGCTGTACAGATAAAGCGCTGTGGGGATTCAGCAAAAGGGAGCAATTACATTCTGCTAAATGAGAGTCAAGACATCTTGATGGAAGAAGTGGCATGTAAGCAAGAGGGCTGATCACATTTGGATGTGTGGAAACTCAGTGTATCCAGGGGCTGGGAGGGAAGCAGTTCTGGAGAAAAAAACTATCCTAAGGAAAGACAAATGAAGAAAAACAGATTTGAATAGAAAAAGGAAATGGTTTGATTTGGTTTGGATGAAGCATAGTGTCCAGAAAGAGCATTAATGAAAAATTAGTGAGAGCTAAGGCTAGAAAAACAGGCCAAATCAAAGGATTTGAATGTCAAGCAAGGAACTAGATTTCATTGCACTCTAAATGGTAATCACATTGAGACTCAGAGTTGCGGGGTCAGAAGAGTGACATAACGAGAACCACGACAGAAAAACTTCATCCGGCAGACACATACAGGCTGATGTTGGCTGATGCTACACTCAATCCCAACCCTTGATGTCGTCACCCTAGAGACAGGAGAGAGCAGAATGCTCACTTCCTGACTCACCTCCCTTGCAGCCCAGACTGGCCCGGCAACAGCACGGCAATGGGGAAGTCGGGGTCAAAAGGAGTAGAAATGTGGAACCCTGTCAGGTAGGCAGAGAGCTGGAGGGATTTAATGTTCCATCAGCTATTAGCAAGGCTGCACAGAGCGTCAGCACCTGGACTCTGACACCTGGCAGTGGAGAGGAAAGGAACAGGAGGAGTTGGGGTGAAGACAGTCAGAAAGGGAATGAATGCGGGCATGGGGAGCTGGGAGAGGACTAGCCATGAGAACAGGGGTGCCTGCACTGGGGCAGAAACCCAGTTACTAGAACTAAGGCCTGGTGCCAGGACTGCAGTCAGAACAATGGTGTTGATCCTGAGTCACGTGCATGTGGGAGAAAACCTCCTTAAATGCCTCATGTTTAAGGTCCCGACTGAACCTGGGGATTACCCAGATGTGCAGATGCAAGGCGGGACTCACAGGTGGTGTTAAAGGAATCCTTGGAAGGGTGGGTCTGTGGGAATTGACAGAACTTCAACATTCCACTTGACTATTAATACTAAGGAACTATCAGAAGAACAGACTGAGCCTGTCTCGTTCACCACAACTCCACAGCAGCATTATTGCGCCCTGCACAAAGCAGGGGCTAAATACTTGAGCCACTGAATTGAATTATGTTAATATGAATTAATGAACAAATGTCAGGGTGACTTTCATTTCAATAGATTTATTTTGTCCCACACCCAAATAATTCTCATTACCTGTAGTTTGAAATACAAATGCTCATCTGCCTTTTTTCTAATTTCCTTTCCTTCTTTTCTCCCTTACTTACTCTCTGTTGTCACTTGTTATTTTTTCTTTTTACCCAACCTTTTTTTCAAGTCTCTGTGACATATTTACTCTATCCCATCCCTTTTCCTCTCCAAGAATTTGATTTGCATTGATTCAGTGGATTTGCAGCAACATCCTCTCCATTTATTTCTCTCTTTTCCCATCTTAACCACAGCTGCTAGAGTTGCCTTATTTTCCTTCCTAATACCCTTTCACCATCTCATTTCCCTTGTCAAGAGCCATTTGCTCACCATTTAGGCTAATGCAAAGGCTCACCTCTCTTCCCTCAGGCCTATTTTCATGTTCAGTTTCATATTATCACTGTTCCAGGGTTCACTGCCAGTTACCTTTCCAACCTTTGCAATTTTTTAACAATCTAGGCTAAATCCGTCTAAGCCGTCTTCAACCTGAGCAAGATGATCAGAAGAACTCCCTGAATAGTAGACATTTCCCCTTTTTACCATTGGTCTGCAAAATAAAGCCCTATTAATCTGGAAGTCCTTACTAAAGGATGTGTGATACCGAAGAAGCAGAATTGAGTTTTTCACACTGTAAGGAAGAGTTCTGCACTGCACAATACTGTGAATAAGATGACGTGGGAATGTTCAACCTATGCAAGGAAACTCTCCTTGACATAAACATTTGCACATGAATAACAAGTTGCCAATTATAATTCTGTCCAAATCTTTTAATAAACTTTCAAGGATGTGCAACCTCCCAACTCAAACATTTGCAACGCCTTTTTTGGAAGTTACTTGCTCATTAACTGAGGATGTAGATGCAAGATTTATGGTGACCGTGTTCTTCTTTTTATGGTTATCCTCTTTAATATCTCATTAACTAATGTGCTTTTAATGCTGTCTTTTTGCCTAATTTTTCAAGTTTTTATATCCAAATCTGAATTTTCCACTTTGTTTTGTCTATAGGACATTAGCACTTGGATGTTGTAGCAGATGTAGGTGCCGACCCACACCACCACCTCCATCCAAGACAGTGCTAGAATACAGGTCCCACATGTCCCTGCGGCTTCCTGCATCCCTCTAGCAGCTGGAACATGCTAGACCTTCTGGGGCAGTCCAGAATGCCAGGGAATTAACCCCCAGTCACCACTCTCAACAATGAAGGAAGGGAAATTAGTGGATAAATACATCAATTTCCTGCCCCTCAGCGGGGTGACTCTGAGGCAAGCTCGACGGTCTGTCAGAGGTTCCTCAGCAGGACTGAGCCCCAACTGTCCACAGTGGTAACCTGTTCATTAATTCACCGTTTCCTGGTTCTCCTGGCTTCCCCGTGTCATCTTCCCACTCCCTCACAATGCTTCCTGGGATCATCTCCGAAATAAGCTATTTATGCCCAAATCTTTATCTTAAGGGCTGCTTTGGGGTAGGGGGAGGTAATCCAGGCTAAGACAGAGGTCCTATTAAAACTTAAAATATGTTAAAGATTATGATCTTCTCTTAAAACCAACAGTCCAACTTCTTTTATGGTCTGTTATCTCACCTTCCTCTCTTCTCCTGAGAGGCGAGTGCTACAGGGGTGTGAGGGTCTCAGAGACAGACTTGACTTCTGCTCCCAGCTTTACGGTGCCACCCTAGGTAAGTCATTTATCTCTTCTGATTCTGTATATATATGTCTTGAATCCTAATACTTTCCAAGGCTGTTGTAAGCATTAAATAAAATAAAGCATGCAAAGCATCTTTTACTTTTCCTTCATCCTGTTATAATGTAGTAGTTTCAAATTTAGGGAATAAGCTACAACTTTCTTTTGTGGGTTTTTTCCACCTCCAATAATTACCTTGAGCCAACTTAGAATATAAGAGTGAAAATCACAAATAGTGAGAGTATCCTCTGATATGAATATAAATTAATTACACATCAAACTTTTTCTCATGAGTGTAGCGTGAAATGGACTGCTCTCCTGAAGTACATGGGGTTTTTTGTTTGTTTTGTTAGACAGCCTTATATACAGAGCTCATAAAAGCTATAAACAATATTCTTATGGTCTAGTATGAGAATTAGCACACAATAGACAATTTATGCTATTGTTTAAAAAAGATATCATGAAAATCATTTATTTACAAAACAATATAGGACAGAAATTGCATTCATTATATCGAGGGGAAAGACTCGTAAGGGGAGCTCAATAAATAATTATGTTATTTACAGGTATTACAATCTTTACAGGTAAAGATTAATAATGGCATTTCCTTCTCTGTAGCTTCCTACAGACTACAATAAGTATTGACACTGAGTTTGCTGTTTTTTACTGACTGTTCATTTCTGACAACTCCCTTCCTTTGTACTTTCATCTTCATACACATTCCTTCTCTTCCTAAAATTTCCTCATTTTCTTCAAGATGATCTAGGGCTCAAAAGATTTTCTGTTGACTGTATTTAATTATAAATCATGTCTTCAGCAGTTGGGTTATACTGAAAATGCAGAACGAATTCAATATCTGTCTATAATGAATCAAAAGTAGCTGGTAGGATCACAGAACAAATAATCAGAGTCTGTGTGGATTTCCAACAACATTATTACTACATGATTAATCAGGACCTAATACAAACCAGGTCATACCCGCTGTCTACTAAGCCATTTCATCTTACATTAAAGTCCTGTGGCACTGTTTCAGATCAGTTAAGAGTTTCGCTTTAGATGAGAGTACATTGTTAAACTTGCCATCTGGTCCAACAGCTGATGTGGCTCACAGAACCCTGGAGAGGCCCCAAAGCTTTACTCCTGGGAACTATTTGGTCTACTGTGTGGTGTCATGATTACTGGTTCATAGCTTTTTTATATCCTTTGAAAAGAAGTGCACAAAAACCTCCACACTGGGAAAATCCTCAATTGAAATTAATTTGTTAGAAAAGAGTTCACTTACCTGAGGACCGGGCTGACCCTGAAATTGACAAAAAGAAAAAACAAAAACAATTACAAAATTGTTTTCTTAAGTGAATATTTTCACTACCAAAACTTAAACTAGTTCTAAAAATTTTTTCAAAATATTTCTGAAGATAATAATACCTAACTACTGACAAATTTCACTTTGTGGTTTTAAAAATAGTATTATATCTTGATACTTTTACTCTATGCTATTTATCTAAAATCTTGATATTATGGTCTGTCATATGTAACTCCAGAACGACTCAAAGGTTTTAGCATGCTCTAGAATTAAACTGGATAAAGAGAAGGCAAAAGGTGAACTACAGCTCACGTTATCATAACGAATGGGTTACTTGAAGAGAGCGTCATCTAGCATGGACTACTATTACTGCAAGCTACATATTCAAAGATGGCACCGAGTTAAGAAAAAGAGAGGCAGATATTTTAGTTTTAGAACTCACTGACTCTTTGAATTTCTCATTGTTTCAATAATATCTTGTCAAAATTTTTAATAAACATCTATCTTTTACTCTGCATAATTCAGCCTAAGGGCATTTTCAAAGGAGACGAGGGGCCATTGGCTCAATTAAAGTGCATCATTAACTTCTCACACAGTCAGTAGATGATGTCACTTTCTTGTTGTTTAAGCTGACAAAAATGTGAAAGCAGCATGATGGGAATGCTTCTCACTAAAGCAAAATCGCTGTGAATAAAAGTAGTGATTAAACATCACCTTCTTAAAATCTCAGTTGAGTTTTGTGTAAGATGAGATGAAAGAAAAATTCACACTGAGTTAGGGAATCTTAAAAAATAAATTACTAATGTACAATCTCATTGTACCAGCCGTATGCCACTGGCGTTACACAGCAAAGCGTGGAGCTAGGACTCTTTCCCTGTCTCAGCCCCTCTCCAGGCTTGGAATTTCTCTAGGTGCTTATTCTCTACTGACTGGAGACAGAACAGATGATTTTTCAACAGCTTTCTATGAAAATGTGGTTAGCCAGGGTTTATCTAATCAAACCAGGAAGTTTGCTAAACCAAGGGACTGGGGATGTTCCTCTCCCACTCCTACACTCTTTAGTGGTGGAGAGGGAGGAAGAATAACATTCATTAACTCCTCACTGAGTACCAGGTACTTTAGGATATATTATTCCATTTATTCCTTATAACTGCCCTGCATTTTACAAATGAAGAAACTGAGGCTCATAGAGATAAGCTAGAAATCACACAACCCACAGGTGGAAAACCCAGAATATAACCGAAATCCAATGACAAAGGTCATGCATTTTCCACCAGATCATTCTGCCATTCAGTCTGGAGTTTTGGCCTCACAGCTGTGTGCAGACTTGCTCAGATCAACAATGGTGTACTAGAGGGCTCCTGAAGTACGTGGATGCTCTACACTTCCCAACCTCGCCTGGGCGGCCACAGTGTGCATCTCTGCTTCCAGATGCAGACCCAGGACCAGCAGGCACCCAGCCTGTTAACTGACACATGTATGAACCCAGGTCAGCAAAGGCTCTTGAGGATAACAGAGAGCCCTAAAATCAGCTCTAAACACGGACACGGAGACAAAGGCGGGGCTCACCACCTGCATGTAAATACGGACCTTCCAGATCCATGTAATGGATGAAAGTACAACGTGCCCACACTTGCTTGCACTCGCGCTCTCTCTGGATGCTTTAAACTTTTGATCTTTTTGAAGTTTTAAAGTAATGCAAACTCAGAAATGTGAACATGCGTCATTTACAGAACTCAGAATATGTTACATCTGTTACATGTTTTTTGTGAAAACTAAGATGTATGATTCTCTAAAATTAGAATTTCTTTAATTATGGATTTTATGTTGCATTATGGATTTTATGTTAGTGATAGTAAAAACAAATAGTAAATGATGGTAAAATTAAAAAGTTGACTTTTACATAGGCATTGGAAAGTATATAGCACCTAACATATGATCTGAATTTCAAGTGTATATGGTGTGCGTGCATGCGTGTGTGTGCGCAGGGTGGGGAACATGAAAAAGAGGGATGGAAGTGGGTTGGAAGGGAGGCTTCCCAAAACGATGCGTCCAACATGACAAATTTAGTAACTCTCCCTAAAACACAGATTACACAATGCAACAATTTACAAATTGTTACAAATCTTACTTCAGATTCCTGGGCTGCCTACACCAAGTCTTCTCACTCAATGTGATGTAACAAACTATTCACTAGCAGACACCAAGAACACCTGTAAGAAAACAGTCCAGTGGCTGTAGTCTTGTAGTCATGGTAACAGAATTATCTGGCCATATGAGGGAAGTGATCAGAGCAGAGGTTTCGGTGGGCGTGGCAGCGTCAGCGGCCCCGTGAGAGTGCAGAGCATAGACAGAAAGTATTCCAGAGCCCAAGAGTGAAGGGCAGCTCAGAAACTCCCCGGTGATGAGAGCACTGGGTGATGAAGACTTCATCACAGAAGAATCACCAATGGAAATACCTCAGAATTTCTTTAAGTTGCTTCTGAGTAGTTCATTGAGAAATACAAGTATTTCTGTTCTTTAGTGGATATTTTTCTAGTCTATTCTAATTTATAGATACTGAATATTATTAGTAATCAACTGTGGGAGTTAATTTCATTTTCTGAAATCCACTCTGAGTAGTTATAAATTATGATTAAGGCTCACAAAATACAGCTTAAGTTGAATTTTTTAAGATGGAATTCCTGAAAAGGACCTTTTTTCCCAAGCAAATCACCAAACTGTTTCTATAAATACAAACCTGAATCTAGTCTAATCAAGAGCCATGCCAAGGGACATCATTAAATCAGAGAGACTGAAGTTTGGAACATACATATGAAGATGCAGAGCGCTGAGTGCTCGGAGCTGCTGATTTACTGGAGTCAACAGCCCGGTGCAAGGCCCTCAAGGCAGCGAAGGCACTAGCGTGAAGAAAACGAAACAGCAGGAGGAGCTGACTTCAAAAAGTGGTAATCACAACAGTCTGCCGGGAAATAGCCAGCCAGTAGCTGACGCTGGACAGGAAAGTGTTCAAAGCAAGTTGAAAGTTTTGTGAGGCAAGTAAACCACAATGGAACATGATAAATGAGACGACAGGTCACCGAAGTATGCACTGTTACTTTAGGCAATTAAAGAGAACTATTAACGATTCTTTGTTAGGCTGTTCTCACGACTATGGTTGCCAAATCTGTTTCATTCCTTTTCAGATGGGACAGGTACTGTTTTTCCATTAACACATGCACAGATAGGCACACCAAATTTGTACTTTTAAAGTACAGTCTTACTTGGAAATACCAATTAGGATAACAGACCCACATATATCTGTACTGTGACAGATTTTAAATGAAAACACTGCCATTTACAAAAACTTGAGAGGAATATTAGCATTGTTCATGCAACTCTAAAAGGTGCTACCTCTGCTTCAAGGTAATTAGAAAGAGATGACTCCAGTAACTTAGAAACTCATCACTAAGTAACCCAAGCTTGACAACAACTTGTCATATCCTCAGATTCAGATTTATTTCATTCTCTTGAACTGAAAGAAAATACTTCAAAAGAATAATTTCTATGTTTTGCATTTTGGAACATTTACTGTCTAAAAAGATCATTTGAAGACGATTACTATAACTTCATTATCTCTTGAAAATTCTCAAATCCACATACTCAGATGTCAAGCTTATTTTCCTTTCAGGTGAGTGGGCACTGAGGTAAAGCCTTAGAAGGACATCACAGGAACTCTGAGTGGCAACAGGACTGTCCCAGAGGCAAGAGTCTTGAGAACCAATAGGAATCCTATCATAGAACCACCTATCATACAACCATCTTGAAAGGCTAAGGATCCCTTAGCCTTTCAAGAGTCACAGTTTGACTAGAGTCTGTGCCACAGCGGAAGACATGCCTCTACACCTGCAACACCAGCGAGCAGGAATCCTGCCCGTCCTCACTGCACTTGATTCTTTTCACATTTAATCCCCAATATCCCAGTGCCCAAGGTGCTTCAGAAACAACTGCTGAATTGCTGAAAGATGAGAATATTTGACTGGTCCAAAGACGGTTAACAATAATTTTAACGAATCAATACAAAGTTTACTATTCTTACATTAGAGTTATATTTTCAAGAGCTAGCTTCTCAATCTAATAACCCAGAAAGAGTTCTCTCCGGCTTCCGCTCACTGCAGAGTAAACACGTCTATGTCAAGGGGAAGTCTCCCCCTCAGTGGAACCTTACTCAGATAACAGGGGGGAACTAGGCAGAAGCCCACAGAGGCTTCAGGGGGGATTTAGATGCCTGCACACAGGCCACAGCACGCGAGTTCTGTCCTGAAGACAAACCACTCCCTCATTTGATTAAGCCTCCATATCCAACTAATGTGAGAATATGATATCTAATTACTTTGTAAATTATGAAATGCTATACAAACATAGGATGGCAATTTAAAGTAGGCTATAAAATCAGTATCAACAATCCATTCAACTAATTCAAATTTAGATAAAAAGTGTCTATTAATTTTAAAAACAAATTAATATGCAAATGATATACTACAGAGAAAAGCAATTGAAGAAATAAAGCATTATGGATTATGTGTATTAATTAAAAAATGGCTTTGCAAAGACTACAAAATCTCTCAGTGTCTGTAAGCTGCTCAGGCTCCCAAGGCCTGTTACACGCTTGACTGAAATAAACATTATTCATAATTTATACTGCCTGTTGCATTACCCTACAGCATAGATATTAATAATTCTTACCTTAGCCACAGTCATATAGTATTACTCAGATAAGGGTATTTCAATTTAAGGTTTTCTTTTGAAAAATACTTAATCCTCGGTGGTTTTAATTCTGGGAAGGAAAAGCCATATTCTACTCCAGAGGAAAATAAATAGCGATAGTCTCAAGCCTGGTGGATACATCTTTTTTTAAATTTGAGAGAGAAAGAGAGAGAGCAAAAGCAAACATGGAGATGGTTTTCTGGGTTCAATGTAAAGAAAACAGAAATTCATTCAAAACTGGGAAGATTTCG